ATAAAGAAGACATAGTCTTAGCCCCTAAGTAGTTTAGAATCTTGTGGAGGAGGCAAAGACCTACACATAATTTCACTAAAATGTGACAAATGTTATGAAAGGTACATACTCACCTGGCTCCTAAGGCAACTCACTGTTCATCTTATGGCTACATTCTACATAAATGATTGTCCTGAATCCTCCACTGAGGATCTATAACTTCTCAAAATTGAGAAGGTCCTCAAATCAAGAACACAAGGGGTCAAACCAGTACTCACTGAGCCTACATTATCCATCTGGGTAGGCAGGATCTGCCAAATGTCCCGAGTATGGATCATCTATTTAGCAAGGCCAGTCATAGTGGTTTGATTCTTCACTTTTAGACTGGCCATAATTATAGTTCATACCCAGTGGCCTGTTTTGCATACATGTGAACATTTTGAATTAAGCTTGTAAATATACAACTTTCACAGCTTATATCAAGATCTACTACAGTGTATACTTTGAAGGCTTTCGAAAGATTACATTTGGGGCTGGTGCCGTGGCTCACTTGGTTATCTTCCGCCTGCAGCGCTGGCATCCCATTTGGGCGCCAGGTTCTAGTCCTGGTTGCTCCTCTTCCAGTCCAGCTCTCTGCTGTGGCCCGGGAAGGCAGTGGCGGATGGCCGGGTACTGGGCCCCTGCACCCACATGGGAGACTAGGAAGGAGCACTTGGCTCCTGGCTTTGGATCAGCGCAGCTCCGGCCGTTGAGGCCATTTGGGGAGTGAACCAATGGAAGGAAGACCTTTCTCTCTGTCTCTCTCTCTCACTGTCTATATAACTCTATCTGTCAAATAATAAATAAATAAATAAATAAATAAATAAAATAAAAAAGAAAGATTACATTTGATTTCATGAATTCTACCATCATTTATCTGGTATTGACTGTACTCAAGTATCTAAACCTCCTGGTCATTCTAAATGATTCTCATATGATCTAACTTGCAAAATATCCAAATAAATTTTTGAATATCATCAAACGCAATGCTTATCTAGAAAGTTTATTTGCACAAGTTTAATAGTATGAGATACAACATTATTCATGGAAATCAACCACAATGCTAATACTTTAATAGATTATTCCAAAAATTAGACATTATAGTTTAAATCTCTTTAACATTAGCTCTAATGTTGAGATAACATTTCAGTTAATAAATAATTCTGAATAAAACCGTATGTTCAGTTTATTCTCCCTAGTTGAAGTACACTTTTCATGAACTACAATTTTACTGTGATTTGGGTCATAAAAGTAATAAATATTGTTTATATATTTTTATTAATTGAATTATATTTAATGAATCTTGAAGATAATCTAGAAATGCATTCCAATAGGTTAGATAAATTAAATGCAGTTTTTAGCGCTTTGATTATCAACATGGATGGGTAACACAGTAATTGCTTTTAAATTTAGTGTCTGTTGCATGTGTCATATAACATTTACTTGATTTTTCACAGACTATGGTAGTTATGTGTAAATGTAAGTGCCTCAATTTTTGATCTCTGAATTAAACACCTTTTATTTATTTCAGAGAATTATGGGTTTCAAAAGTTCTGGCTGTTTTGGGTTGATCTGCAAAATACTAAGACACAAATGTGAACTCACAAGACTATAAGTAAAGAAACTGAATTTTGTTAAACTACACTTTGCAGTTATGGACTGCATCTTCCCAATCATTTTCATGCCATAAACACACTAGGAAAGACAGCATTACTCTCAGGTATAAAATGTTCTGAATTCACACATCCCATACTGCTTATGCTGGGAATTTATACTGGCATTTGCATTTTTGATAATATGTCTCCTCAGCTCCCACTCTCATCTCCAGTTGTCACAAAGGCAATTTTTCTGTCAAATGTTCATAACATGTGGGGTTGGCATCCATCTGCTACAACCAAGGGCCTCCTTGCTGCAATTTATTTTAGCCTTTGTATTTACTACTCTGTTTTGGAGTATTCCTGTCATTATCAAGTTTAAACCAGGGCATGTGTTCCATGGTTTCATGGCCTGCACAGAATATTTGGTCCTGTTTGGACTCAGATCCCCAATAAATAAGATAGCCAAATTCCATCTTATGTGTTTTCTTAGCATTCCTAATCTCTTTATAAAATCTTCAACTCTGAGCGGCAGCTCTAGCTATCTCCTGCGTGCATTAGGACAAAGCACAGATGATAGAAAGACAGTGCAAGCATTTGTGAAAAATGTCAAGCAACAGAAATAAAATGTAGGCACCTTAAATTTAAACAAATATTTAGGTTCTGGAAAATACTTTCTTCCAGTGTAAAAGGTGAGGACTCTGTAGAAAATGTCACTTTCTACGATGGGAAGATACATTCTAAATCTGTTCCTGAAGTTTTGAAGAAAGGCCTGAAAATTAAAAAAAATGATGCTTTCCCCTTTTCAATCTTGACAAACCATATACTTTGTGTAAGGACCACCTTATAATTTTGGGAGGTTTTCGGTATCCTTTCTTAGGGAAAAGACAGTTGGCATTGTTCCATGGCTGGGTATAATTCATTTATGTCTTCCCAGTTTTTTCTCTCTGATCTCTCCTCTGTGTATCTGTCAGCTGCAGCCTCTTGGGATCAGCACTATGCACTTCATTAATAAGAAGGGATTAAAGGAAAAAGCCCGACTCTCCTAATACACTTGGATAATTTGGTGCCATCCATAAGGCAATAGACCCCTGCTGCATAGATGTCATTATAAAGGTACAATTTCATTACTTTTTACTGGCAGAGCCTTGAGTGAAATACAAAATATGTTGTTTCATATGCAGGGAAAAAAATGCTAAAGCTTTCTTCACTTCATGCCCCTAAACATAATAGAATGCAAAAATATATTTTATGCCTTTCATATTTGTATTTCCTCCCTTTAGTAATCCTTAAAATCACACTTTTATTAAACACCAAGAAAAATAAAGATTAAAACAAATATTATTTGTATTACTAAATCTCAAATGAAGTTTTCATATTTTATTAACTAGCACACTTAATTTGAATACCTACTGTGTACTAGGCATTCTGCTTGATGCTGAAAAACAAACTAGAAAACTGCATGTCATCTTTTTTGTAAAGCCCTAACTTATTGAATGCTGTAATTGGAAATAAGTGCAAAAGTGAGTGTACATGAAATAAACCATATGGCAGAATAAAAATGACTATAATCTGGATATATTATAAGCATATTCAGAAAATCTGCTTAGTTCTTCCTTTCTAACTGAACTTATTTTTGAACTGACATGTCTGCTGGTGGTTGATGTTGAACTGAACCACCCCCTGACTTTAAGCCCTTATGGTGCAAACATTCGAAATGAGAGGCACAGATCATCCTTGGAGGATTTGCACCCTAGTTTCTGTAGGAGACGCCCGGCCGGGAAGTAGCCGTGTATCAGTGGTGCAGGTGTAGTGTGTGGTGTGGACGTGCCCCTGGGACTTGGGCATCTGCTGTAAAAGGCTCCAGTGGCACTCCCCTGGCATGACACTGGTTGATGACTCTCTGGGAGTCACACATGTCACTCTTCCCGATCACTGAAGAGAATCACGTTTAATAGGGGTCCATTATCTCACCACCACAGACACATTACTGCCATTAACACTCAAGAGAGGCACACCGTTGAGATTGTGCTTGGGAGAGGAAAGCCCCTGATTATAAGCTATTTACAAGCCCGTCCTTGTAGTTATAGATTTTGCTTTCCTACAACTGTCTTTGTTCAGTGAAATTGACATTTGCAGTTCTTTGTCTAAGATCAAGGCTAGACTAGATGGTTAAGATGATAGAAACCAGTGTTTCCAAAGAACATTAAACTGACAAAAGGTAAAGCAGTGTAATAAAAGCAAAATAGTTTGACAAATGAATCAGTAATGAAAATACTTTAAGAACATGTTGGGTTATGCACAATAACTCTACACATGAAAGATTGGTCACCTAGTCAGTAAGACAACAGAATGTTCAAATGTTCTTACTTTTCTTTTCTGAAGCCTTGTTGATCCTGGTCTGTCATGCATGTTAATATACTCAAATCTCATTGAGTTGCAGTTCAGATTATCAATAGATGTTGTGAAAAATAAGGGAGCAACAGAGATTGGGACTCTGCAGAATCAGTTAAGACCTTCCACAATGACCAGAGCTTAGTAATCAATAGAAAGTCCAGACTCAACTAGTTAAGTCCTTGTTATGAAAAATATGACTCAGCTAATGTTTAAATATAGATAACGAAAGTCACAAAATCCCCAGTTTTGTTCATAAATTAAAACCACAAGCAAAGTAGTTAAAAGCTTAGACTGTTAACTGTGTGTGGTGTGTTTGAAGATGTGCACTGAAAACAGATGAAACATTTGATTTATATTATGGATTTCCTTTTCCTTGTAATTTTTTTTATATGAGGATAACTTTTTCTCCTCCCTCATAAGATTTTACATCTTCCACCTGTTCTGAATCTAGCAGTGTCATGATTTGATGTCATAAATATACGGGGTTTCTGAAAACTCTTTTCAAATTTCTAGGCTTTAGTCCCGTGTTATTTTCAGCTTTGAGGAGGAGGGAGGAACATTATGAATTGAAGTTGGGGTTGAAAGTAAGGTATTTGCCTTATAAATGAAAGTAATAGATTAGCAATGATCCTTGTTAATATTCTTTTGCAGAAGTAGTATAAAAATAAGATATCTTGTTATAGTTCCTCCCTTGAATCTGTGGCATGCTATATTTTGCCATTGTTAAACTCAATTTAACAGGGTAAAAAATATTCAAGCAAGAATTGACAATACCAATTTTCTGGTAGAAGGGGAATAAGCTGATAGGTGTGTCCATAAGTTCCGTAAGAAAAGACTTAACCAAATCTTGATACACATTTTAAGTTGCTTACTAATAAACCAGATAAACTAGAAATGTATTTACTTTGGGGATACTTTGGAAAGATTTCTCCCTTATATTTGAAATCCACAGTAGGTTTCTTCCCTTCCTCCTTGGTATATAATAAAATATTGTGCTTAGACGGTATAAAATGACATGAAACAACAAACCTGTACATGCCCAATTTATAACAAATCTGTTTCCTTAATGGGTGGAAGGAAATCTGAGGACTCTTCCACAGGGTCTTGTCTGCTTTCAGTGCTTTCTTCTAGTCATACGGAAGACAACACCTCTCCAGATGGGTCTTTCCCCTTCTTCTCCTCTCCTCGGTCAATGTCAATCACATGCATCACTCCTGGTTTTAGAATCAGGTCTTCAGTCTCCACCTGACTCCTGTTGTCCTCCACCTCCATGTAGCTCCCTTTCGTTTGCTGGGCAGCTTTGCTGAAGGCTTCTTTAAAACGACGTTTGAGTTCAACATCTGGACAGAAGACGTACTCATAAAGGCCACCAGCCAGGACAGCGCCTATTATTGGTCCAACCCAATATATCTGAGGAAAGATGAAAGAGGATAGAGTGAAAGTAGAGAAAACCAATTCCACTGAACAACCCATGAATATAGAATTCAAACTTGTTTAGGACAGCAATTGTGTCATGTATTAAAAAAAAAAAACAACAGGGTAAATGAAAGGAAGTAAGAAAATACACCAAATCCATTGAATAACATAAGAACAGAAAACAAGAAAAAATTACTTCTTCTTTCACTAATTTTCCATTTTCTGATAATTCTTAAATTAAAGGTAGCTCTTATTTGGCAGTGCTAAAAATTAAGCAGACACTAGAAGTTCTTCAACAAAATTAAAAGAAGAATTTCTGGAGAGTATTTCTCTTATCTATTGAATATTGCCATTTTACATTTGTTTTCTGTATGATCACAATCATAGCACACTTTCCTCATTTCATCATCAAAGTTATTTCATCAATAACTTTAGTTATTCAGTGCAGAAAGATAAATGGAACCCCATCAATTAGCAATTTTGTGAGTGTTCACATCAGTTATTTTACTTTCTAAACCTTAATTTCCTCATATGCACAGTGGGAATTATAGTGCTACATACTCCATGGAGTATAAAGATTAAATGAAATAATACCTGTAAAGTACTTAATAGTTCCTAGCTTATAGGAACTTGCTCCTTGCTACACTTTCTAGACAATTCAAAAATGTATGTGATTAAGCTGGCTGTGAGTTTCTATTTCCTTATGTCACATGCTTTTCCTCTCTAAAATTTGGTTATTTGATTTAGTCAGCTATCCTACCATTCGCTCAATACCATTATTGGAAAGAGTTTTCATGTTTATTGGTCTTACAATGGAGGCTTTGTGGAAAGGCTGAATTTAAGTTGAAAAGTAGTGATTCTAGGGGATTTTAACAAGTGGACATTTTTATTATACCACTTATGAACTAGGATAAACTAAGCTTTAAGCTTGAATGAAATGCAACATTTGCTTTAGAGCACTTGTGTGCTGCATAGCATTAAATGTTCATTTAGTAGAATCACTTGGGCAGCAGAAACCTTGCTTATGAAGTATCCTTTCTATGTCAATAGTACCTACCACTTTTCTTAAATTATGTCATCTAATTCTTAAAATTACCTTTGAGATAGATATTTTTATTGTCTTCAATATATGAATAAGAAAACTGATACTCTTCATAAGGTGTAAAATCTAAGGTTTCATGCTTAGTAAGTGATTTATGGGAGATTTTAGAACTAGGTGACTGCATACCTCTGTTTTAACCCACTATATTGTTTTCTACAGTTTCCTTGCTTGCAAAAAAAATACAATGAATCCTTCTTGCTCAAAACACCCTCTGGAAATTCATCAGTCATCTCATTTGGTATACTCATTAGAAAACCTAAAGAAAATTCAAGCTTCAATCTGAAGCTGAACACATATCCTGCATAGGGAAACTATGGGCAGAGTGGCTGGAAGAACCAAGTTGCTTATCTTGAACATGAAAGAAAGCACGAGAGTTTATCTTCTCTATGCCCTTTTGAAGGAGAAGTGAGAGCGCTCCTCTAAATGCCTTTACTCTTTGTTCCTTTGGAAAGATCTCATTAGAAAGGTACTGTTCCACAGGCCACAAGTCCTACAAGGACAAAAAGCTGCTAATTACTGCTCTTCCCCAAACACCTATGAAGACGATGTTGAACTTCACGTTCTCAAAAAATAAACAAATCTCAGCCTCAAGTTGCTGTTTCAAAGTGTACTTTAAACTAACTTTTAAAATTTTATAAAAGAAGAGAATTTTTGTTGATAAAAATATAAAAATATGTGAAATGAAGAAAAATAAAAATATTAAACTATATAAAATCACAATGTTTTGGTATTATCTATTTGAAAATGTTTATGTTTTCAAAAAGTTTATTTTCATCTACCTGAAAGGCAGAATGACAGAAGGAGAGAGAGAGATAGAGATAGAGAGAGAGAGAGAGAGAGAGAGAGAAAGAGAGAGAGAGAGAAAGGTCTTTTCATTTGTTTGTTGGCTTCCCAAATTCTCACAACCAGGGCTGGGCCAGGCTAAAGCAAGGACCCAAAACTCCATGGGAGGCAAGGGCTCAAGCACTTGAGGCATCAGCTGCTACCTCCCAGGATGCATTAGTAGGAACCTGATGGGAAGTGGAGTAGTGTGTTCTCAAATGAGCACTCTGATATGGGATGTGGGTGTTGTAAGCAGAAACTTAACCACCTGTGCCACAATGCTTACTTGTGATCTACAAATGTATTTTAAATTAGCTCTTAATTTTCTACAACCATTGTAACAAAATGATCTTTCATGTGTAATAGGATTAAGTTTGTTATAAAACAAGGGAAAACATTTGAGTCAATCAACAAGCCAAGAATTTTTCTGCTATTTAAATTTCAACTGTTTAACACAAGTAACAAGTAATTAACAAAAACATATTTTCATCAACATTTTCAGATCCTCATAAATTAAACTAAAAGTTGTTAATTACAAATTAGTTTGAATTTAGTAAGTTGAATTAAAATAATACTTTTGTCAAAGGATCTATATACTGCCCTTTAAAACTTTCCATTTCTGTGAATGCAGCAAATTGCTTGATACATAAATGGAACTCTCAGTGGCACAAAGACCAATCTCATGTGTTGCATGATTGGGCAACCTTTGCATGGCTATATCTAAAATCTTGTTTTTGAACACTGGTACTCATACTATTTAATAGTATAAGTTACGTGAAAAGACACAGCACACTTTTTTAGGAAGTGAACACATATAACAGTTGTGTAATTTCTTCTCATTTGCAGCATGCACCGTAGTTAAGTGGGTGGGACTGGATCAATAACCACCATATGCTTAATACCAAAACACACATGACATTCTGTTTTAGTTACAATTTTAAAAAGTTGTGAAATAACATTCACAATGTATTAATGATAATAAAAGTCTTGGTGGCTTACATATGTCTCATAATTTTATTATTTATTTTAGTGTATGAGTAGCCTTCACAACTACTGTATTGTTCATTTAAAAGACTTAAATTCCTTTGCTTTAGGAAACAATTGAAAGAAAATTGATTACGATATTTAAAAATGGATATCCCTATATTCTGGCAGCACTGCCATGACATTAATAATTAGCTTAGGCTTGAGACTGAAAAGTGTGCCTTTTCTGAGAGTCATTTAATTTTTCAGCTATAGTTATGGTGAAGATAATTTGCACCATTTATTCTATGTGTAATAGGATTTATTCAGTACCATCTACAGTTCAAATGCTTCTAATTAACATACTATTAACTGGGTTATGCTTTTGTAAACAAAAACAGGTAAATACTTTTGAGCTGAGAAGTGCTTTTCAGCCTTTTTAAAAAAATATCTTTGCAACTTAAAGTTATGGGAACAATTTCCTTTCAATTATTTAGACACAACATTCACTACACCATCCTGAATTTGACTTTTTCCACATAGACAATCTCCAAGTACAATGTACTCTAGTGCAATCTGTCAGACACATCACTCAGGGAAGTGATTTAAAAGAAAAAAAGTTCATTACTGAAGACCCAGAACAAATATAAGATGTTTTATAATGGAACTGTTCTAATCTTCCCCTAATCTTTATGAAATATGTAACAAAGTGGGGCTCAATGTTGGGGGGATGTAAGAAAGATAAGCACTATGGGTAATTTTCTTCCACTGTAAGGAGATAGGAACTATTAACAAGATGGTTACCCAATGGTTTTCCCAATTTCCCATGATAACAGCAGGTCCAAAAGATCGAGCAGGATTCATGCTGGCACCAGTATAATTGATCTATAAAAAAAAAAAAGCACTTTCAGACATTGCTGAATGCAGACTGACAGGTATCATTCATTACAAGTTGCTATTATATTTGTCAGGGCAGTTAGAGGAACCTCAAGATGTTAGCAGCCAAATCAACATTCTCATCACTTGGTTAGCAGAACGATCATCTAAAATGGACAGGCATACTAGATACTAAAGAGCTACAGCTGTAAAACATAACATCTTCAGGCCAGCTCCAGGGTGAGGATAAATGAGATAGATCAATTATTTAAATAGCCTGGGAAACTTACTGCAAATAAATGTCCAATTGCAACAGAAATTCCAATTGCTAGAGCTATTGAACCAGTGACATCAGTCCGTTTGGAATCACAGCTGGCAAAAATAGTGAACACCAACTGAAATGTGATTATCAACTCCACCAGGAGACCATGGCCAGCGCTAAGATTTCCATGAACCTAGAATGAGAGAGAGAAAAACCTCCATTGGAATTGAAGCAGTACATTTTCTATGACAAATTTGTCATTGTGAAAGGCCTATTTAATTCTTTTTTAAAAGTATGGTTAATTTGGGTCTTCTACTCCACCTTCAGCTCAGAACTCTCTTCCCTCCTCCGCCTTTGAAAAAGGAGGAATAAATTTACACTTATTTTGGACTATAACTGATTATTACTCTTATGATCATCAGGCGTGACTCTGTACTGAAAGCCCTTTCCTACAAAGGAAGCAAAATATGCCACTACTGTGCTTAGCTTAGAGCTTCTTGAAAGTATTATAATTTCATAAGGTAATGATTCAATCAGTTAATTAGATTTAAGTTAATAAATATTCCAATTAAAATTTACACCATGTGTTTTCAATCAACCCTAGTGCTGAGCCAATAACTGATATTCATAATTGGTGAGGAACAAAACTAGGATCAACCATCAATCAATTTTTTTAAGTGTGGCCTTTTATGTAGATCATTTAAAAGCTCATGAGCATGACAAGAAGCACAACCATTTCTCCTGCTGGTGAACAAACAGATAAATGTAATAAAAGTGGCTTAAACTAATATGTAGTCAGCATAGTAACTGGGATGGAGACAGAGAGGGGGAGAAACTAACATCATTTTTGTACCTAGGCTTAGTTGTTTTTAGAGTTACTCAAAAGCAAGCAACGATTTCAAACGGATACAATGAATGATGGCAGAATCAATTTTCATCCCATCAACAATCATCAAACACTCCCTGGCAATAAATTAGCAGTTTAGGAATGTCTCTCAGGCCACCAGAGGGCTATAGAGCAAAGTCTGCAAGAAGCCTGGAGTCTTAGTTTGAAAAGAAAGGCTACCGTGGTGACTCCCAGGCCTCCCACCACGCCGGGCGGTGTGACCAGGTAGAGAATCCCGGCTCCGATGATGGCCCCTAGGCACTGGGCTGCGATGTAGAAGACAGACTTGGCGATGCTGATCTTCCTGGTGCACACCATGGCCACAGTGACAGCAGGATTGATGTGACCGCCACTGATGTGGCCAAAGCACTGCACCATGGTGGCAATGCTGAGTCCGAAGCAGAGGGAGATGAGAACCATGTCCACCGGTAGGGGCTTTTCTGTTCCACCCCAGTTGATGGTGGATCCCAGGCTGAGGAGAACAAAAATAAGCATGGCCAGAAATTCTGCTGTGACTGCTTTCCAGAAAGCTTGAGTCCAGACCCCTTTGAAAGCCACCATGATGTCCTCTCTTCTACACAAGGGTCCGCACTTACTGAAAAGACAAGAAATCGGCATCAGAGGCCACGCAATCGCCTTTTCAGCAGGAAAAGCTTAGGAATTTAGGTGAGGGAAGCCTGGACTGCAATCCTGCCAGCTCCTGTGGCGAGGGAGGGCCAAATGCTATTTGCAGACCAAGTAAAGCCACTTTGGAACACATCCTGAATTAATAGTCAAGAGATCATTATTCCAGTCTCCCTTGATTTAATATTCAACGATCACTCAGTTTCACTGGAAACTTATCTCAGCTGTCCCTAGAAAGGAAAAGGCTGAAATCAAATTCCTCTAAGAGATGAAGCATAAAACATTTACCTTGTGGTTAAGTCCCTTAGAGCTAGTTTTTAAGGTTTCAATTCACTTTGTATATATCATTTATATTTTGAACATACAGCACTTAAAAACGGAGAGGTCTTTTTCAGTATTGTACTTTATTGCTTCCAAGTGGCATCCTGAAAGCGAATTTGGAGAGCAACACCCCCGGCCCCAGAAGAGACTCTGGATGAAGGGGTGGCCTGCCAGGAAGCCAGCACGCCGACGACGAGGCGGGGTGGGCAGCTCCCGGGGGGGACTGACAATGGCGGTGGGAACTGGCAACGAGGGTGGCAGGGTCCGAGCAGGGTCGGCGACACTCTCACTGCCCTCGTTCCTGCGCCAGGAGGGAGCGCGCCGCCAGCAGGAGGAGCCCGGGATCCGAGCCCGCCCAGGGAACACCGCGTGTCGTCCAGATCTGGGCGCGCGGCGGCGCGGGGACGCCTCAACCCCAGATCCCCGGGAGCCTGCAGCTGCTCGCCGAGGGCTGGCCAGCGGCCGTTCCCGGCCGGAGCCGGGCTCCCCGGCAGCGGCCAGGTGAACAAGCAGAAGCCGCCGGTGCCCGTGCGTCCTCGGCGTCCTGGCATCCTGGTGGCCGGGGGAGGGGGATGCCTTTTGATGTTATTAGGGAGCAAGGACAGCCTCTTTTGGTGCCAGACCCTCTCTTAACCCTTGCCGGTCCTCCCTAGTTAACACTCTCCCTCGCGAAGGGATCCTGGCGGTCGGGGTGTACAAGCAGGGTCCCCGGTCCCCCCTCCCCCCCAGCAGGCAAAGCTTGGCAGGGCGCGCTAGGAAAGGCGGGTGTGGCACCTGGAACTGGTCCTCGGATCTCTACTTCTGTGGAAAGCTGGTTTTCCCCTAGGGTCTTCTGGATGGCCTTGGCTCTACGAGCAGAACGCCTCCTTTTGGGGAGTTTGGGAGTGGGGTGCTGGAAGGGTTCAGGGGGCTAAGGACTGGGGGCTGGTGGCGAGAAGCAAGGCAGCCATTGCCAGGGAAAACACTTTTCTCCCAGCAATCCATTTCCCTCTTACTCTTTGGATCTGAGGAGTGGGGTTTGAGGAATTTTAGCGCTGGCTGTTCATTTGGCTAGGATTCTCTTTTGGGGGGCAGTTGCCCATTACCCCATTATCTAAGGTATTTGTCCTTGTCCTTTGTCCGTGGTGGTCATGAACGCAGAGACGTTTGGAGAGCATTTAGCAGAGAATCTAATCACAAACGACTGTGTAAAGGGTTAGGCAAGAAAGCCAAGTCCTTTAAGAGATTAGAATTACTGCAGCTTCCTCTTCCACACACTGTGGGGCCCTGTTTTCCCCCACATCGCGCGGTACCCGGGAGCTGTGTTCTGCATGGGCAGTGCAAAAATGCTTGTGCTCCAAAGGGCTGGGAGGAGACTCTCCCTTGACCTGTAGGATCCCTGCTCAGGCTTTACTTTGATCTGGGGTTTGGCTTCAGAATGGGGAAGAGAAACCCATTTTCTGCCCAAGCTGGGGTGGCAGGAGAAAGGCAGAGCTGACTCCTGGAGGGGAACAGTCAGCCATGTCCCAAGTGTGCCCTGCCCACTGACCTCCTCTAAGTGAATCGTGTAATTAGGAAAAACCCCAACTGGGATTACAATGACATCATCTCCCTGGAGGAAGAGAACATAAAGAGACAAAAACAGCACATGGAACAGGGCAGGCAGGGCCCCCAGGGAGAGGCACTAAAATATTCCCAAGCGGGAGAAGGCTCAGAGAACTCAGGAACTGAAAAGGAAGTTACGAGAGTCACGTCTGAACTCACCAGCAGGTCAGGCTGTAGCCGGGATGGCATAGGGGCAAGGTGCTATGACAGGTGTTGTCGTCTGCAGCCAGATTTAGTGGGGAAAAGAAGGACAAAGCAGGAAGCCAAGAAAACTGGGTGTGCAGGAAGCAGTCTCCTTTCAGCTGTGCAGGAGAGCACGGGGAGAGGCGGACCCAGAAAGGGCCAGCCTCCCAGGCGGCACCCCTCACCCCTCGCTTCTGCCCGTCCCTAGCGCATTCTCTCCTGCACCTGTCTAGCTCTCCAGAGACCTAATTGAAGAAACTCAGTTGCTTTTCAGCTTCAACTTTTCATCAGCTAGAGAAACTCAAAACAAAGCACAGAACACCAAAATCAAATCAACCAAACAAATGAACTCAACAGTGCTTTTTTTTTTTTTTTTGCCTTCTTTCCCCCACTAAAGCCGCAGGATAGGATCTCTTTCCAGGGTAGAGTGAGCAGTTGCACTGGGCTGTGAACCCCAAAGTGTGCAAGGGCTCAGCCCAGAGTCACTCATAGCCCCCTTGAAGCACCCTCAGTGTTTCCGAAGTGTTCACATGCACTGGAAATGGATCAATGCAATTGGCTTTGGCTTCCTTTGCCCCAGAGCAAAGAGGGGCTGTGGATGTGACCGAGTCGACTGAGACGGCACGGGACGCGTTTCCTTCTAGCTGCACTCTCACTACCCTCCACTCTGCGACAGCTGAGGCTCCGGGCAAGTACCTTTTCTGATGAAAAACACTGCAGATAAATTTACCTCCACGGGGTGATTTCCCCATGTCTTCCTAGAGGTCTCAACTACATGGAGAATGCTGCTGAAAAGTATCTTTTTACTGCTACCTTCTCCATGTCTCTCTTTATGTGCCCGGTACTCACACCTAAAACAACCATCCACCTGCCCGAGAGCTGCCTTTGAGATTCTGCTTGAGAAGTCACAGAAATCTGTAATAAAAGAGACAGAGTTCTGTTTGCCCTGAGCATTGTTCCCTTAAGGCAAAGAAGGACTTACCCCCACCGCCTTGCTGCGGGTCTGTCACTCATGCCTTCCCTGGCCAGAGTGCAGCTCTCATTGCCTGCCCTGCAGCTCCCAGTGCGCTGGGAGTCAGATTACGGCCACTTGTCTGATTGGGTTTTTGGAGTGTAGGGGTGGAAAGATTCTGCACCATGTGGCAATTGCTAGGTTATATTTGAACTTGAAATAACTTCTCTGTACCTGATCAGTATAGACACAAGGCATTTCAGGAACACAGAGTGTTTACTTGCTTTATGTTTCTCTAGCCAGCAATCTTTCAAAATGAAGATTTTCCCCGATCTTTTTTTGACTTCTTTCCACCTCAAGGAAGTGTTGAGAATTTGCTTTGGTTATGTGTTACAGTTGAAATTGGGCAACTATTAGCAAACAGATTTTAATATCCAGCAGTTGAGATCTAGGCTTCAGTGCATTTGTTTCTGAGTGGGAAAGCAGCCAGTGAGTTCTAGTTGAAGTCTCTGAACCAAGAAGAAGCATTATGACCATGATATTTAACTGCAACTACATTATGGCCTAAGAAGCACTGATTTGGACAATAAAAAATAAAGGCAAATAGAGAATATGGTAAATATGATTGCTTCATGGGCTGATTGGATTGTTAATCATAATTTTTGAGTAAGAAGAAGCAAATTAAAAAAAGTACTGATAGTGGAGTAAAAATTATTGGGAATAATAGGCAGATTTAATATCTGGAAAACCAACTATATAATTTGCCAGTACCAATGCCAACTCCTTACTAAAAAATTATTAAGGATTTCAAGATTGTGACAGCAGGCCATTAAGCAGAGTGGGGGTCTCCTCTAAATACAGGATTCTTACAGCTGCAGAGTCACTGGTTCGTGAAGATGGAGACTTTGATGAACCCTGGAGGGGCTAAGAACTAGCTGCCCACATCATCATCTCATTAAATATTTTTTTCATTCAATTGACCTCAGATATATAGAATTGGAATAATCATAATCCCTGGTTTATGATACTGCTTCATCACTGGGTTGTATATACGGCCCTCTTATTTTTGAGTAGTTAACTACTGAACTTTTAATAACATAATAAACATCCCAGAACTTACCACCCAACCCAGCCTGAGGACCATGGTATTAACTCATTATCTGCCTGTAGTCTACTCTCTCCACTCAGCATCTCATTTCACATTGGGTATGTTTTTAAAAGAAAGGTGGCAAGAAGGAAACACAGAATAAAGAAGATATATTTTCAAATCACAGATGCAACTTTTGTTGTCTCATTTGGGTATTTGAGACATGGGAACTGGTGGAAAGTTCTCAGAAGAAAGAGGAATTAAAGTTTTGGGTGTGAATTTCAGAGATGCACTGTTTCAAGCACTCTCAGATAACACAGATGGAATTTGCATTCTTAAGGGTATGTTTCTGCACTGATTATTGTACATCAGTGATTTCATCCTTTAAAAATACTCTCCCGGCCAGCGCTGTAGCTCAATAGGCCAATCCTTCGCCTTGCAGCACCAGCACACTGGGTTCTAGTCCCGGTCGGGGTGCTGGATTCTGTCCCGGTTGCCCCTCTTCCAGGCCAGCTCTCTGCTGTGGCCAGGGAGTGCAGTGGAGGATGGCCCAAGTGCTTGAGCCCTGCACCCCATGGGAGACCAGGAGAAGTACCTGGCTCCTGCCTTCAGATCCGCATGGTGCGCCGGCCGCAGCGCGCCGGCTGCGGCGGCCATTGGAGGGTGAATCAATGGCAAAGGAAGACCTTTCTCTCTGTCTCTCTCTCTCACTGTCCACTCTGCCTGTCAAAAACAAAAAACAAAAACAAAAACTAAACAAAAACCTCTCCCAAAAAGTTGGAGATAAGAGGGGGAGGGGGGATTAATGTGAATCCACAAAGAACATTTAGAATGACCCATATTGATTCTTTTTTTTTTTTAAAGATTTTATTTATTTGAAAGACTGAGTTAAAGAGAGAGAGAGAGAGAGAGAGAGAGAGAGAGAGTCTTCCATTTGCTGGTTCACTCCCCAGACGGCTACAACAGTCAGGGCTGGGCCAGGCTGAAGCCAGGAGCCAGGAGCTTCCTCCAGGTCTCCCACATGGGTGCAGAGCCCAAGGACTTGGGCCATTGTCTGCTGCTTTTACAGTTGCATTAGTAGGGAGATGGATGGAAGTGGAGCAGCCGGACATAAACCGATAAACCGCCATCCATATGCAAGGCTGGCACTGCAGCCAGAAGCTTAACTCGTTACAGCACAACATCAGCCCCTCCATACTGATTCTTCTTCGATCTGCTTATCATTTTGAATCTAGATGAGATTAAAGAAAAGGCAGAAAATAATCTTATACAAAGTTGAGAGCTTTGACTTTTTTAGGCAAATGTGCCAGATGTGATTTCTTTGAACCCAAGACAAATGGAGTCAGAAGTGTTTGCGAGGTCTATGAGTGCAGCAAACAACACTGCCCTGTTTAGGTGCTTCTAGGGGATGAAGCTTATAGTCAGGTTTGCAGGAATCCTCAAATAATGCTCATGGCTTCTGGTCTGTGCGGGCCACTTTTCAGGTCCACCCTTTGCAAGTTGCCCTAAGCTCATTAGCATTCTCTGCGAGGCCTGGGCAGTTCCAGTCACCGTTTTACCAAGTGCCAGCAAAACTTGGTTACCACAGTTTCTCAGACTCTTTCTTTTTTTTCTGGCAGGCTGATGTGTTGACAGTCTTGTCCCCAAGGGATGACTGTTCCCATCAAGAGAAGGGCCACCCTAATTGGCACCAACTCCTCCACTTATTAGTAATCTCAGCAGAGTGGCTTAAAATTGATCAGAGATTAACTCTTTGTCTCCCAGAAATAGTCTTTTCTATGTGGAGTTGCTGATTATCATTTTTATACTTGAGATGACATAACTGATTTATTAGCACTGGGCCACAATCAGCTACTTGCCTGGTTTTTCTCTGGACTAGGGACAGGCATTTCCAGTTAGCTTGTCTATGGCAACGTAAGCAGAATATGGTTACAGAAGAAAGCAGTTACAAATTCTGTAGGAGAATATGAGGAATACCTTCTAAACTGAATTGTTTGGATCTGAACCTAGATCCAAAAGAGTGAAATACATTGTTTCCTTTGTTGGTAATCTTAATTCAATTCATTTTAAAATAGAGTAACTGTTTCTAAAGGTTTAGCTCTGTGATCTTTTGGGGAGGAGAGTAACCTGGCATATTGATTTTCAATTAGTGCCCTACACCAGACAACCTTGCAAAATGTTAGTTGAAGAGTCTTGTGAAGTTCTTGTTCAGTAATACATGAAGAAGATGATAGAAGATTAAATGAAATTTACAGGGGCCAGCGCTATGGTGCAGCAGGTTAACTCCCTGGCCTGAAGCAATGGTTTGAGACCTGGCTGCTCCATTTCTGATCCAGCTCTCTGCTGTGGCCTGGGAAATCAGTAGAAGATGGCCCAAGTCCTTGGGCCCCTGTACCCATGTGGGAGACCTGGAAGAGATTCCTGGCTCCTGGCTTCCGATTGGAGCAGCTCCAGATGTTGTGGTCAACTGTGGAGTGAACCATTGGATGGAAGACCTCTTTCTCTTTCTGCCTCTCCTCCCTCTCTGACTTTCAAATAAATAAATAAATCTTTTTTTAAAGATTAAATTAAATTTACAAGAGTACCTTGTAAACACTAACTCATGAATATACTTTGCCTCTGAATTTTTTTAGAAGTAAATTTTCAGTGCCACTTTTTTAAAAGAATTATTTATTTGAAAGGCAGAGTGACAGAGACAGAGAGAGAGAGAGAAAGATCTGTCCCCTGGTTCATTCCCTCAAATGGCCATAACTGCTCGTCCTGGCCAGACTGAAGCCAGGAACCCAGAACTCCATGTGGATCTCCCCTGTGTTCTTAGGCCATAGCTCTGCTTTCCTAGGAGCATTAGAAGGGAGTTGGATCAGAAGTGGAGCTGCTGGGACTTGAAACAACACTATGATATTGGATGCTGGTATCAAAAGCAGTAGCTTAACCTGTCATGCCACAACATTGGATCCACTTCAGGATTTTTTCAAAATAAATAAATTTATTTATTTCTATAAAGAGCACTTCTGGATTTTTAATCTATGATGTCATATTGCTTTCTCTTGGCGCTCATGTGTAGCTGTGGGGTTTGTGGACTCCTCTCTCCCACTCTTGCCCCCAGAACT